GAGAGAAGGTTTCCACTCAATTTTGTTTTGAGTATCCGCACTGCCCCCCCACCCCCCGGCAAAGATTCATTCATGGTTTCCTAATGATAGACTCTCCTTGGGTGCTACCCCTCCTCCACATTCAGATCTCATGCTTTTGGGTGGTGGATCATGTGTCCAACTCTAAGGAGGTCCTTCAAAGTATTCACATCTGCTTCTGGGATCCCATCTGGAATGAGCCTGTTTGGCACAGCTTGGGTAAGTGTAGGTTTTAGTAGAATATTTGCAGGCATTATTGGAAAAGAGTTTTCTTCTTTCACAAGGATGGAGCTCAGCTGACAAATAAATAAACACAGCCACAAGCAGGGGCAGAAGGGAAGGAAGGGGACGAAGAAGAAGAGGAGGTGGGAGGGCCTGGGGGCTACCTCAGCCTCTTTTTTTATTTTTCTAAGCTGCAGCACTCTTAAAGTTTCACACAGAAACTCAAACACGAATGCAAATCCCACTCTGGAAAACCCTGAAGAATATTTTAAAAATCAAATCTTTATTTACTTTACCATAAAAGCACAGAGATTTTTAAATAGTGTTTCATGCAGAGAGCTTTTGAAAAATCCACTTTAGATATCTGCCTGCCTGTCCTTAAAGCTTCTCACTCTAGGCAACTACAAATAGTCTGTCTGTTTTCTCCCAGGGCCTTTACCACCTCCCTGCTCTCTCTCTCTGCCCTTCTACTTGGTCATTCTACATGGGACCCTCCCTCTTATGCTCAGCCCTGCTGTGTAGTCTGGTTCCTTGCCAGGAGCGAGCTCTCCAGAATTCTGATGAACACTGCCAACTGCTGATGCATAGAACTATTAGTCTAGGATTGAACTTCCCTGTTAGACTTGAAGCTCCACGTAAGCCAGCATTTTGTTTATTCATTACTCTGTATCCACCTGCTGTGGCCAGGGAGTGCAGTGGAGGATGGCCCAAGTACTTGGGCCCTGCACCCCATGGGAGACCAGGATAAGCACCTGGCTCCTGCCATCGGATCAGCGCGGTGCACCGGCCGCAGTGTGCTGGCCGTGGTGGCCATTGGAGGGTGAACCAACGGCAAAAGGAAGACCTTTCTCTCTGTCTCTCTCTCTCTCACTGTCCACTCTGCCTGGAAAAAAAAAAGAATTAGAAAACATGAAACACACCTGACAATCAAGCCAGAGAATCTCTGGGGCCAGCAATGTGGCATAGTGGGTAAAGCTGCAGCCTGCAGTGCCAGCACCCCATATGGGCGCCGGCTCAAGACCTGGCTGCTCCACTTCCAATCCAGCTCTCTGCTATGGCCTAGGAAACCAGTACAACATGGCCCAAATGTTTGGGCCCCTGCACCAGTGTGGGAGATCTGGAGAAAGCTCCTAGATCCTGGCTTCGGATTGGAGTAGCTCCAGCCGTTGCAGCCATTTGGGGAGTGAACCAGCAGATGGAAGACTTCTCTCTGCCTCTGTCTCTTTGTAACCCTTCCTTTCAAATAAATAAATAAATCTTTTTTAAAAAAACATACCTGACAATCAAGCCAGAGAATCTCTTATTTTCTGACACATCTCTCTCCCCTTCCCAGAGATGCATTCATCAGCTGCACTGGGAAACCGAGAGGACAAAGAAGTCGTCCAGGTTCTCACACAAGCAGCTGCTCTCTGATGGGTGACAGGCTCACCCCCAATCTCTCATTGACTGCTGTCACTATTGCTATTGTTATTGTCTGTGTATAGAAAAAGAGACTTGCAGAAGATAAAGAGAGCATTCTGATTTACATTTTCCATCAGAAGCCATAGGAATTAAAATATCTTTGAAATAGAAAGCAATGTAAAGAGTAAAAGGGAAGATTCCAAAGCATTTCTGAGTTTTTCATAGTAGAGAAGGAAGACTCAATGATATGCAATGTCATCTTAATGCCAGAAAGAAAAATATATATGGGGGATTCCATCTTCTACAAGGCAGGGCTTAGGTTTTGTTTTTTAGCTGTTGCAAGAACATAACATATAACTTGTGTTGGAAAGTTTAGGTGGTAAGTACAGGACTCTAAATTTAGCTTTCAGTCATCTCAACTTAATTTGTATCTAGTAGTTCTAGACTTGGATTAGAAAAAAATTATCATTCCTGACATATCACAAAGTAATAAACAAATATGGGTAGGAAGGAAGATAACCACTATAAATTTTTTTTAAAAAATCCTATCTCAGGGCAGGCATTTGGCCTAGTGGTTAAGTTGCTGGTTTAGGACATCCGTGTCCCATATCACGGTACCTGGGTACAAGTCCCACCTTCTGATATCAGCTTTCTGCTAATGCAGACCCTGGGAAACAGCAATGAAGGTTCAAGTAGTTGGGTCCCTGCACCCATGTTGGTGACCTAATTGAGCTGCCAGCTCCCAGCTTCGGCCTAGGCTCAGCCCTGGGTACTCTGGGCCATCATAAGCTGTACTTTGGAAATTTATACTCATTAAATAAATTAAAAAAAATTAAAATAGGGAATGTGAGAGGGAGGAGGAAGTAGTTTGGGTGGGAGGGTAGGGGCGAAGTATCAGTATGTTCTTAAATCTGTATATATGAAATACATGAAACTTGTGTAACAAATTTTTTTTAAAAAGTAAAAAAAAAAATTAAAAAAAAAAAGAGTGAAGCAGGAAATGAGAACTCTCTCACCATCTATCTGTCTCTGGCTCCATCCCCATCCCTGTCCCTGTCTCCACCTTTCTCACTCTCTCAAATGAATAATTAAAAAATATTTTTAAAAATCACCTTTTTTCTCTACCACCAGTAGAAAGAAAAGGAACTAAATGACCTAAAATAAGGCACAGTTTTACAGTGTATCCACTTTGGGTGGTGTGAAGTGCAAGTGACCTGCATTCCCAGTTGTCTACATTCCAGAGTTAATTAGTAGTAATTATCCTGAATCTAATGCCTATTTTTTAATCAGTGATCCCACGGGAGAATAGCATGTCTTTCTCCCTCATTCACAATCACAGCACATACTCCTACGGCATGAACAGTGCTATTATGTTCAAAATTAACCTCACTTAACTTAATGAATTTTAAAAAACACTTCTATCTAAATGGGATTAAACACAAGGTGATGTAAGAGTAAGGAATGGGTGGATAGCAATGTCGTTTAGGAGGAAATCTTGTATAGCATATCACCTTAACACAGAAAAATGATGGGCTAAGTTTGAATTTCAGGAGGAATTTTGAAATTTAAACTCTATAGAATGTAGATAGCAGTGATCCAAAAGTCTTCCATGACATCTTAATACTCATGCAACCTAAAAAATTCAGATATGTTCTCTAAAGTTTCAGTGAACTCAGGTGTTTGTGGAATAAAGTACCTACCTGCCTATAATGGGGAAAGTATTACATTAAGATTTGCCACATGGGTGTCACAGCCAGCTCCATATCATACATGAGTTTACATTAAGATGGCCAGTCAGCTACAGGATACAGCTGGTTATACTGAACAGACTAAATATTTCTAAATTAGCATAGAATGACTTTTATACCCAAACTAAGCAAATCACTTCAGTAGGTATTTCTGAGTTTTACTGACTTCACTAATGGAGTTCTGGATCATTATACCATTTGGGGTCTAAATCTGAAAAAAAAAAGGAAAGAAAAAAAAATCTTGTAGTGGACTGAATGATGCTCCCCCAAAACGCATGTCTACAGTCAAATATTCAGAACCTGTAAATGCTACCTTACTTAGAAAAGGGGTTTTGTACATGTAATTAGGTAAAAATAATGAGATGAAGGGGCTGGCACCGTGGCTCACTTGGTTAATCCTCCGCCTGCGGTGCCAGCACCTCATATGGGCACCGGGCTCTAGTCCTGGCTGCTCCTTTTCCAGGCCAGCTCTCTGCTGTGGCCCGGGAGTGCAGTGGAGGATGGCCCAAGTGCCTGGGCCCCTGCACCCCATGGGAGACCAGGAGGAAGCACCTGGCTCCTGGCTTCGGATCAACGTAGTGCCGGCCTTTAGTGGCCATTTGGGGAGTGAACCAACGGAAGGAAGACCTTTCTCTCTCTCTCTCACTGTCTACAACTCTACCTGTCAAATTAAAAAAAATAATGAGATGAATATCATTTTCAATTATGGAGATGGACCCCACATCCAATGACAAGTATTGTTATAGACAAAGACAGGAGCAGGGGATATGGAGGGAAGAAGGCAATCTGAAGGCAGAGACAGCAAAAAAAGTGCAAGAAGGAGAGTAGCTACTGAGGGGTTGGCAATTCTCTTCTAGAGCCCACAAATGGAGCACAGCCCTGCTGAATTAACTGTCAGAGAATAAATTTCAGTTGTTTTAGGTCACCCAGTTTGTGGCAACTTGTTATGGATGTCCTAGCAAACTAATAAAGCCATTATTCTATACTTTAAATCTATATAGAGAATGAATCCCAACTACAGAGAAAACTCTGGACTGGTCCTTAGGAGAGATGACTTCATGTACAGGCCCCACCCAGAATCATCACCACATGGCCATGAGCAACAGTCTTAGCCTTCTGTTAATTAATTTCTTTATTTGGGTTGAACTATGTGATCTTAAAGCTTCCTTCAGCTCTAAGAGCTAGGTGTCTGGTACTAAGAAGCAAACTGAAAGAAAAGAAGCACACTCAGTGTTGTGCCAATACACAGACCCAATACAAGCTCTCCCTCATACACACACGTGTGCTCCCTCCTTCTCTCTCTCTCTCTCTCTCTCTCTCACACACACACACACACACACACACACAATCTCTAACAAAAAACACATCAGAGTTTGTGGTAGAAGGATAGAGGGAAGAGAAAATACTATCCATGGCTCTTATTGTATATTATGCCATTGTTGTTTCATGTAATCCTTATGATATACCTGCTATAGCAATGTGAGTCCAATCCAGAGATAGAAACAACACAATGTGTTCAATAAGAGAAATATGTCATAAAGGAGAATTAAATAAAGATATAAGTAGAACTATGAGATAAGATTCTATATAGCACCCCAGGCCTGAGGGAGAATGCTCAAAGGACCATCCTGAAAGTGGGTCAGACCTCACTGGAGAAGGTGTGATTCAGTCATCAGACAGAGAGAAGTTGGCAACATGGCCAGGTCCGCATTTGCTTAAAGGCATTGAGTAAATGACAGGCCGCCATCCAGAGTGTAGGCAGGAGGTGAGTAGGCAGAAACCATGTGGTATCATGGTATGCAGTGGTATTCTGGCACTGGCAAGGACAGAGGCCTTCGAAATGTAAGGAGGCAGATTGCAGAAGAAATTATAACCTGTATTGTGATGCTCTGGATCCGTGTCTAGAAGGCTACAGACAAGACACTGTCCAGCCAAGCTTACAAGATCACAGAGACCACATTCTGGGACATTTCTGCCATATGTCTTCATACCCACACAGTTCATTTCTCTAGCCCATACCAGAAACTGCAGGAGACTGCTTCCTCTCCAATGTCCTGTGCTATCCTCTATTAAGAAAACTTAACATGGTGTTTCATTTAAATGAGAAATCCTTAAAGGAATTCAGTTATCACTGAACATATACTGAGGGGTGCATTTGGAACTGAGAGGTAATAAATTGGTAAGTGATACACTTGCAAAGTAGCCATTATCTAAAATCACAAATAGGCATGCAAAGATATGAGTACATTCACTAAATGGCAGAGCAGAGTATGTCAAAGCCATAAATGATTGCTAATTCCCAAAACTAGTCTCTAACCATGCCTCAAGAACAGTGTGATGAAAATTGGCCACTTACAGTATTTCATAGATAGCACTGTATTTCGAGTACACTATTATACTTTTGATCATGTGATAAAACTTCATCTGATGAGAATTTTCTGAACAGCTTTTGTTAACAAGAGGAATGAAAGAAATATCTAGGCTGGACTAAATGTCTCCCTCCTCACTGTTAAACTCTCCCTCCTTTTAGAAAATGCATCTTTAGGTTTCTCCAAAGCATCTGTCAAACTCTAATGTAGTCATCTGCTTCCTCTGTGTTGTTCACCCTAAACTCCAACTTCCTCACCTGTCGAGATAGCCCCACTCTTCTTCACAATTCTAAGACCTAGTTTGCACCATGGCTCACAACATATTTTTAGTATATGAGTGTTAAACTAAACTAAGTAGAACAAATTCACATCACAGATGTAATCAAATAGATCATTTCTAGGATATAACTCAGAGTCAGAACAGTCTGCTGATGGATGGGTTAAAGGACACACAGCAGGACATACACCAATCAGTCCCGCATGACCCTTCCTGCACACAAGGTTGCCACATGCAAAGGATCAGAGAGTGAATTTTGAGAGCTGTGTCCTAGAGGAAGGCTAGGGTTGGCAATGCAGTGGGTTAAGCTGTGATGCCAGCATCTCATATTAGAGTGCCAGTTCCAGTTCTGGCTGCTCTGCTTTCTATCCAGCTTCTTGCTAATATGCGGGATAAGGTACTAGAAGATTATCCAAGTACCTGGGCACCTGGCACTCATGTGGGAGAGAGGTTGGAGTTCCCAACTTCAGCCTGGCCCATCCATGGCTGTATCAATAATCCAGGGAGTGAATTAGCACATGAAAGATTAATATTCTCTCTCCCCCTGTCACTCTGCCTTTCAAATAATAAATAGATATAGATATACTTGATCTTAGCCAAAAGATCCAGAAGTGATAAACAAATAGTTTATAAAAATATTTAGAAAAATTAGTTCAAACAGTCTTAATCAAAGGCAAAGGGCCACGTATTAAAAGAAAACCTGGGAGTATGCAGTTGAAAAATTTGAAGTCTTGAATCACAGAGGGAGCTTACAGAGAAGAATGTTGTGATCTGGTTAGCAGGAGGGGGTCTGGGTTAATTCCAAGTATGCCACACTAGTGACACCTTTGCAGGCCCTCCCAGTATGTATTTTTGGTTATAATGAATTGATTTAAAGAGTCTGAAATGATACCTTCAGCCTGTTCCCCAACACTGTAACAGTCAGCTTGCTCTCTCCCTGTACCTTAGAATTCTCACATTGCTTTTTACAGTCAAAAGCATGTTTAGGTTCTACTCCACTTAAAACTAAGCTGGCCAAATCCCCAGCCCTGGGCAAGTACAAGTGCAACCACATCTGCAGCCCTGTAACAAGCACCTGTTTAACCAAGTGACTTGCTAATACTCCTGGGTACGTCTAATCTTTTTTATCTAGGTGGTCTCTTTTCTTTTCCCATTTCCTGGAAGAACATGATCTTGACTGTCCCTTTCTACTACCTCTTCCTCAGAGACTACAGTTCTGAATTCCATATATCTGCCCATATTATCCACACCTTACTCTCTTCAAAATCATATTTTCCTAGATCTAGGACATTATTCTATTTACTAACAGATTTTTTTCCCACTTTCAAGTCATATATGACCTCATATAGGATTTTTGGTTGTCAACTTTTCACAAGCCAAGACCTTTCTGTCTGAGTCTCC